GGGCGGGGGGGAGGAGGGCGCGAGGGGACTGCCCCTAGCGGAGCTGAGCGCGGACGGGAGTGGGGCCAGAGAGACTTTTCTGACTGTCTTAGCTGGACGGGGACCACACGCTAACCCTCACAACTCTCCTCCCCCGTCGCTTGCTCTCCGCCTACTTCCCTGTTCCCCCTTTTAGGTGGTACGACCCCCAAGTCTCGGCGCCCATCTCCAGCCGTGAACTGTGTATGAGTTCCTCCCGGCGTAGGGTCCCCTGAGCCTGTGGGACCCGATTTCAGAGTCGCGCAGGGATAATGGGAGGGGGTGCCCAGCTCTCTTCTTGAAGCGCAGGTCATGGGAGGAGGGCGCACAGAGGGCTGGCTGGCGAGGTAGCTGCAAGGACACCCGAGGGAGAGCTGGGGAGATTGGCTCTGAGCCAGGAGAGCTCAACCAGAAGGAACCGAGCCAAGCATGGAGGAGCGGGAGAACCGGGGCGGGGGCGGGGCGGCTGGAGCCGCAGAAACCCTCGGGGTGACCCAGGCGTCCGGAACCCCCAAGCCCCTCTGTGCCAGACTGAAAGAATCGCGAGAACCAGCACGTAGGCGGAGGAGGTGGGGGTGGGGACTCCTGTGTTGGGGGCTGGCAGGAACTGTAAGGTTTGGGGCGCCCCTCAAACCTTCCCCTTGCCCTCGAAGGCAAGGAGACTCCGGATTATGGACAAAAGAGAAGGGAAACTGAGGCATAGTCTGGCAAAGAGTTTGTCGTCCCAGCCCACCCCCTTCCACTTTCGGGGAGCCCCCTCAGCCGGGCCCTATTCTTCAGAATCCCTGGCTTCAACCTCCCAGGCAGAGAGACCTCTGGCCCGGAGACCCTGCCCCAGCCGCACTCACCCGGGCCGCGGTCTGGCCGCGCAGGCCGCCCCCCGCACAGTCGCACCTTGGACAGCAAGATGAGGAGCTGCTTCTGGCAAAGGGACTTGGTGCCGCGAGGACACACGCGCCGCTGCGCCGACACCGGCCGGCTGCCCCCGGGCTCGCGGACCTCCCGCTTCTGCCGGATCAGGCTACTGGCCAGCGCCGCCATGGCGCCCCGGGAGGAGACACCCCCAGATCGGCCGGCGCCCGGAGCGCGATGGGCTCCCCGAGAGGAGCCCGCTCACCAGAGCATGCTCTTGACACTCAGGGCCCGGCTCACCGCCTCACCCAGAGGACCTGAGGATACGTCCCAGATTCCCCCACGCCCCCCACCCCCACAGCAGCCAGCTCCCACCCTTGGGCGACGTGCTAGCTCCAGGGGACCCAGCAGCCTATGCACTCCTCAGTTGTCCCCACCCTCAAATTTCGCTCCCTACCGAAAACCCCCTTCCCTGCTGTCCCCACTTCCTCTGTCCCAAAGCCAAGACCCCCAAATTTCCAAGACGTGGTGTATTTCCAGACACCTTTCCACTCTATTTTGGGGCACACTCCTGCCAAACCTACTCTTGTAATTTAAAGGGTGTGGGGCCTTAGCTTTGGGGATATTCGCCCCAATCCCACCCCTACTGGGGCACTGCCAATGACAGGGAGGAACCCAACCTTAGTGTTTTTTCCTTTGCTACACTCTAAATGTCGAGGATTCCCCCTTTTTTCCGTGAAATCCCCCCAAATATATGAATATCCAGGTTGTCCAGGTTCAGTAAGAAGGGGTTCCCAGACCTGGCTAGGCAATACCTTTTTCACCAAGTCACCTCCATTTCTAGTAGCACAGGATTCTGCTGCCGAGACCCTTTCCTCACCTTGTCACCCTCCACTCCTTTTGAAGTCACCTCCAAATCCGCCCTTCTTAGTGGATACACCAAGTGGTTGTCTGGAGGTCCCTCTGTCACCTCAAAATGAGGAGCATCCGGTTTTCTTCCTGGCTGCCCCTGAAATTTCCTCGGGGACAGCTGGCGCTGTTTAGAACCCACGCCCTCCGATCTAATCAGCCCCTCGGGAGAGGAGTGCACCCACGTTGTCAGCAGTCCCCAAATGCGAACAGGCCCCCTACAAGTCAGAGCGCATCAGAGCTTCCTGCGACCGGGCTTCCTCGTCCCCCCGGGACTTCCTATGGCACCCCCTCTTCCTTTACCCGACGCCCCTCAACCTGTCCTATCCTGTCCTGTTGATCCGGTGTCTGGTGGCGCTGGCTCTGGCTCCAGGCTCTTCCCTCCCTGTCTCCCGCAAGCAGAGCTTCCCCCCACGCCCGGCTAGGCGTCCCGGACCCTCGGGAAGGAGTGAGGGTGTCTCTGCAGAGCGCCCCGGTCCGGCGAAGTCAGAGCACTGGGCCTGGCGGCTGGACCAGGCAGAACAGCGGTAGCGGCGGCAGCGGCAGCGGCTGTGGGAAGCTGAGGCGGCGGCGGCAGCGGCGACAGCAGTTCCCCCTCCACGGAGAGCCGGCCCGGGGGCGGGGCAGGGGGCGGAGACGCTGGGAAAGAGGAGGGTGAAGCTGGGCGGGAGGAACCCCGGGGTTCCTCGGAGGCAGAGAGTGGGGACTGTGTCTCAGAGGCAGGAGGAGACAAGGCAGGACCGCACGTCTCGGGGTTCAGAGGAGGCACAAGGAGGCCTCCTGAACGGAACCCTGGATGCGGGGGAGAGGCTGGGCTTAAGATAGACGAATGGCGGACGCCCGGAGAATGGAGAGAGGGACCCTACTGCCCGGGATGGAAGTGAGAACCGAACTGAATGAGGAAAGTAGGGGGTGGGGGGATGGGAAGAACTGGAGAGATGGGGGAGGGGTGGTGATGAGACCCAGCCTGGGCGAAATCCGACCTCCTTAATATCTCTGCTTTTGTGTGAGCCAAATTGATCGGTTTCTGGTCTCCATACCTCTCCGCGTTTTGTCAGCAAATATATTGCTCTCATCCCAATTGACTCCTAAGAGAAAAGACCAAAAGAATTGGGGACGGGAGGAGTGCCGGCCACAGATTTAAAGAGCAGAGAAGCTGTAACGGGACGACCTGTGCCGGGGGCGGGCTGGGCAACCGGGAGGAACTGACGAGGAAGTCAACTAGAAGGAGGACTTTAGGCCCTGGGCACACAGTCTGTCTCCCAGGCAAAGAGACAGCGGTCCCCTCCATGTCCCGCTCGCCAACGGAAGCACTTCCCACGCTGGTAGCAGCCGCGTCTTTAATGGGCCCCGCCCCCCACGCCCGCTAAGCCGCCCCCCTTGCGCGCAACCTTGGCCTCCTCTACCGCGGCTCGGAGGGCCCGGGCGGGGTCCCCGCGGAGACGAGCCAACGCCCCGAGCAGCTCGGCGGAGCCGTCCCCCGCACGGAGCTTTCGGCCGCTCAGAAAATAGTGAGGCAGCGTTCCGGCCTCGAGCACACGGCCCAGCTCGTCCAGCAGCCCGAGGCAGCGGGCG